ATATTTGAGAAATGAGGACTTTATCAGAGATACTTGCTGTAAAATCCCCTCTCCCCTGCCACCGTTTTCTGCTTTCCTTTTAATTTTGGTTACATTAGTTTTGTTTGTGCAAAACCTTTTCTAAAAAATTTTTTTAAAAAAGATTTTATTTCTGTGATTTTCTTCCTCGAAAATTAACTTTAAAAGTGGAAAACAAAAGAAAATAATGTTCTGTAAATGAGAAATTTTCAGACTGTTTCTGAATGTAGCAAAAAGAAAAACAAAAACCCACACAAGTTTTTCACTTTTTGTTGAGTAGAGTGACTGAAAAGAGTGACTAAGATTTTCTACAGAGGAGAATTTTTAATTTAGTAGAAGTATTCTGATACGATTCTCATCGAGATCTATAAGTCATAAATAAGAAAGTACTTTAAATGCTTTATATGGCCCTTCTCAGATTTGAGAGTCATTATTTCATTGGACACAAAGTTACAGATCTAGACCAAATAACTGGGCAACAAAGGCTGCAAACAGTGGAAGCCAATTAATGCCCAATGAGTTCATATATGTTTCATATATGTTTCATATATACATATGTTCACACCAATATTTGAGCAAGAATTTTATTAAGTTGGCCTACAACCTGCCAACACAACGAATTTAAAATAATTAAATGTTTCACAGGTTTTGAACTCTACTTTGAAACTGACTGAATTTCAGTTGAAACAAAGAAATTTTAAGCATACTCAATCATGAAAATTTCCTTTTTTGTCTTCTCCTTGAAGACCCATAAAAATAACTGCACTCTTGCAGATTACATAAATTTGTGCAAAACCTTTTTAATTTAATATAATCAAAATTATCCATTTTACATTTGATAATGCTCTCTACATCTTGCTTAGTCCTAAATTCTTCCCTTCTTCATAGGTCTGACAGGTATACTATTCCATGTTCTCTTAATTTGCTTATGGTATCACCCTCCATGTATAAATTACATACCCATTTTGACCTTATCTTGGTATGTGGTATGAGATGTTGTTCTATACCTAGTTTCTGCTATACTATTTTTTAGTTTTCCTGGCAGTTTTTGTCAAATAGAGTTTTTGTCCCCAAAGCTTAGATTTTTGGATTTATCAAATACTACATTACTGGGGTCATATACAATATATTGTGTACCTAATCTATTCCAGTGGTCCGCCATTCTGTTTCTTAGCCAGTACCAGCTTGTTCTGATAATTACCACTTTATAATACAGTTTGAGATCTTGTATGGCTAGGCAACCTTCCTTCACATTTTTTCATTGATTCTCTTGATATTCTTGACCTTTTTGTTCTTCGAGGTGAATTTTGTTATTTTTTCTAGCCCTAGAAAATAATTTTTTTGGTAGTTTGAATGGTATAGCAGTGAATAAGTAGATTAATTTAGGTAGAATTGTCATTTTTATTATATTGTCTTGTCCTACCAATGAGTAATTAAAAACCACAGGTTTTGGAAAAGGAACTAATAAAGTTGGAAATATATTTGTGAAGGGCCTTACAAACCTGACAGTGGAATTTATATTTGATCCTAAAGACAACAGGGAGCCATTGGAGTTTGAGTAGAGGACTGACATGTTTAGATGTTGATCTTAGGAAAATCACTTCAGGTGATGAAGGCCTGAGCTAGAATAGTGAGTAAAGTGGAGGGTATGGATGTAACAAATATTATGGACATAGAACCAACAATATTTGGCGCTTAGATATTTGAAAAGGTATTTGGACTAGATTGACCATTACTTGGTTAAATATTTTTTATTTGTTGTATTGATATTATAGCAATTGCTGCACAGTGGCAAAAGTAATTTTTGCCTTCAAGTTTCCGGGGAATGGTCCTTGGGAACATTTTCTGAAAAATTAAAATAAAACATCATTTTATTTTAATTTGAAAAGTCAGGGTTTATCTTCATAAGGCTTAAGATTTATCATCGTAAGTTTTAAAGTTTCTACATTTTACCTTTTGGAGAATCCATTGATGTTAACAGAACAAGCATAAATTAATAATAACAAAAGGTCATGCTTTGAAGTTTTTATGTTGTGTGGGACTGCTTTAGTTGGCAAGGTTTTTGGAGGATAGTTTTTTTTTTTTTAAACCTAGTCCCTAATGATTGCAGAGGTTTTTTTTTTTTTTTTTCCTTCATTTACAGCTGCTCATTTTACCTGCTGGATAAAGAAGATATCGTTTGAGAATTTGACCCTTTCAATATACTGAGAGGGATACTTTCTCCATCTCCAAAATGAAGTTGAGATGTTGATCTGTACTGGGTGATAACTTGACTTTCCAGGTTTTCAAGATTGAGTGTGTTTCCTCCAGTGTCACTTGGAGAAACTTTTTCTATTCAAGATAAGATAAGTTAAAGAGATGGAAGGAGTGAGGTGTTACCTAAAACTCATGGACAGATGAGGAGCTGTATTGGAGTTTAGAATGAAGTTAAGTCTTCTGAGTAACCTTATTCTAAATATTAAAGTGAGATTAGGAAGCCTGTGTAGTTTAAATTGCATGCTGGAGATGTTGAAATATATTTCACTGATTAAATAAACATTAAAAAAATCTGACATGCTAAGCATTGTTGGAATTTATTCATAGGTTTAAATTAGTTTAATAAGAAAATGTTGAATTAATTTGAATTTTAATATTTTTAGTTGATAAGCACCAAATTTAAATTTCTACTGATTTATCTTATAGTGGCATCATAGCTTAGTGGATAGAGAGCCATCTTCTGCTATAGGAAGACGTGGATTTAAGACCTGCCTTTGACCATACTGACTTTGTGACCCTGAGCAACCTCTCAGTGCCCTACGTAATTCTCTAAGACTATATGATTTAGAAAAGGTGCTAATCTAAAGTGGTAGAAGAATTTCTTCACTTGGAAGTTCCCTATACTAATGAAATCTTAGGTTCAAGTTTCTCACCATGTGTGTATCTTAAATTCTCTTCCCTTATTCTTATCAGGGTTTGTCTGACCTTGGGCAAGTCATTTAATCTCTCTCAACCTCAGTTTTCTTCATCTATAGAATAATAGTAGCCATCTACCTCTTAGGGTGGTTGTGAGTTTAAAGTGAGTATGTATGTGTAAAGTGCTTTGGAAACCTTAGGTATTATCTTTTATATGAAGCTGGTAACGTACACTGTTGCTCCATATTCCATAGAATTTAATTTTGTTCCTTTCTTACTATCTGGTGAAACTTTTTTCATATTTTATTTAACTTTTAATCATTATAAGTTTCCACTCTACCACATCTTCATTAAATTTAAAATACTGTTCCTGAAACAATTTATTTATGCCTTTTCCTGTAATCAGATTACCTTCTTAAGTCTATCTTTTGGCTCACATTCTTACTCCAATTTCAATTTCAGCTTCTCATGCTTACTTTGAAATTGAATTTCTACTTTACTACTATGTATGTTCTTTCTTTTCATCTTATATTCTTATTACTTACGATGATGCTGTAAAATAATTTTTACTGTGTAACCAGTTCTGGGGTATTGAGTTCATTTCTGGATATCATATTTTTGGAGAGGCTGGAGAATGTTCAGAGGAAGGCAGCCAGGATGGTCAAGGGCCTCAAATTTCTATCATATTGGTACTTGTTAAAGGACCTGGTTATAATTGGTTTGGCAAATAGAAGACTTGGACTGGGGTGGGATTTGTGTATGGTAGCTGGCTGTCTTCAAATATTTGAAAGACTCATGTAGAAAGATTAGACTTGTTCTGTGTGGGTGCAGAAGGCAGAACTAGGAACAGTGGACAGAAGAGGCAAATTTAGGCTTGATATAAAGATAAATTGGCTAACAGTATTATCTCCAAATGGAATGGGCTGCTTTGGGAGGTAAGGCATTTCCCCTTACCATAGAGCTTTAATTAAATGTTGGGTGTTGAGTATGTTGTAGAGAAGATTCTTGTTTAGTTGTGAGTTTCAAGTTAAGCTCCATAGTACTCCTAAACAAAAACAAAATTCCACAATTAGTTAGATCAGTATAACCAACAATTTTGGGTAATCAGAACAGTAGTCACCAAAAATATCAACTTATGCTGGAGAATAATTTTTCCAAACAATTAAGTTTGTTCAAGGGGGAATTAGGTAATTACCTTAATTAGATTGAGGTATCCCTGCGCTGTTTGGTTGCTAACTTAATTCATTTTTCCGGAGCTCATATTTCTACCTTAAATATTTACCAAGTTTCTCATTGAAAGTGTTTAAGGTCTTTGCTAAATAATGGTGAAAAGATATGAGTTCAAGACATTGGTAATTGATAGCTTAAGAAAAATTGGTAAGGTTTCTCATTTAGGTGGGAACAAAGACTTAAGATGAACGTAACACTCAGAGGGAAGAAGTAGTGTCTTAGTATGTTTTCTTAAGATTCTGCATATGTGAAAAGCTATCTCCAAGTCCATGTGAGAGGAGAAATAAACTTCCAATCTACAAAGATACTAACAAGGGGATATTAACATTGTGTAGCAAGCAATTTTAATTCATTTGTATGCCTCAGAGCAAGGAAGGATAGTACTTGCAGTTAAATAAATTCTAAGAAGCAAAACCATATCTTTATACACATAATAAACATGCTGTCCACCTTCTGACAGGGAGATAAATGGTTCAGGGTGCAGAGTTAGACATTTTTTTGGACATGATCGGTACAGGAATTTGTTTTGTTTGACTTGGTATATTTGTTTCAAATTTGTTTCCCTTCTTTTTTGGAGGGATAGGGGAAGGTAAGAGGGAGAGATTGATTTTGTTAATTGAAAAAAATTAGATAAAAATAGAAGGGAAAAAAGCATTGTAGAAATTAAAGTTTTGTTGGCCCTGCCACCATATCGCCTCCTTTGTTCTGTTTCACTTATATTAATGTAATCTAATATTGCATAAACTTTTATTTAGGTAATACTGTAATGTATACATTATATTGTAACATTGTGAAAACTGATTAACATAAAATGAATTGATAAAAAACAAGTCATTTATTAAGTTCCTCCTTTTTGCCAGGCCCTGCATGAAGTTCTCAGCCTACTGAGACAGAAGAGAGATTGTTCTTGCCCTCAAGTAGTTTGCATTCTATTGGGGGGGACAACACATACATTTATTGGTAAGTATAAATTTGATGCAAGGTTATTGGAGTGGGATGTCACTAGCCAGCTGGGTGTTCAGGAAAATCCTCATGTAAAAAGTTCATACTTGAAATGAGTCTTGAAGGAGATTTGGAGGTTCTGAGAGATTGAAGTGGCCTTAAAATTTAGTATAATATGCAAAAGAACAGTAGTAATTCTCAATGGAAAGTATACTGGAATTGGGATCAAAAGACGTGGCTCATCCTCAGTTTGCTGCTTACTAATCATTTACTAGAGGAAACTTGGCTTGGCCATTTAGTTGCTCCTACTTTTAGTTTCCTTATCTATAAAATGAGTATAATACTTTCACTACTTACCCCAATAGGGATTGTGAGGAAAGTGCTGTTACAGAGGTGATACTACTTTTGTCTGAGATATGCAGTTGAACACATCTCTCAACTATAGCTTGTGAAAAGTATATGATCTGTTTCTCTTCCAATTTTTCTGCAAAATATTTTAATATTAAAAAATTTTAATATTAAATTTCTTTAATATTAAAGTCGTGTATTTATTTTGAATTTATTGTGGAATATAATGTACAGTGTTGTTTGCTCTACACCTAATTTCCTGTGACTGCTTTGCAGCGTTCCCAGTAGTTCTTATCAAAAAGAAATTATTTCCTAAACAATTTATGTTTTTTATTTGATTGAACACTGGGTTACTGGGTACTATTTTTTGGTTGTTTCCTTTGATATTATAGATCTTTTGTTTCTCTGTGAATTTTATTACAATTTTATCAAGTTCTTTTTTAAAGTATCCAATTGATAGTTTGGTATAGTATTAAAATTGTAAATTAATTTTGATAGTATTGTCATTTCTATTCTTGCGCTGCCCAACTACGAGCACTGAATATTTCTTCAGTTCTTTATTTCTTTAAGGAACACTTTGTCACTGAATATATACTCTTATTTTGTATGCTTTGGTAGACTGATTCCCAGATATTTAATGTATTTTTTAGTTATTTTGAATTGGATCTCCCTTTTCTGTTAGTTGCTCCTTGCATTTTATTATTCCTTTACTGAGACACTGTTGATTTTTGAAGGTTTTGTAGCCTGTAACTTTGCTGAAGGCATTATCTCAATTGGTATCTTTGCTGATTATTTAGGAAGGAAACTCACATTATCAGTAAATAGAGATAGCTTTATCTCTCTTTAAGCTTTTAATTTCTTTCTCTTATCTCGTTGCTATTGTTAACATTTCTAGAACTATGTCAGTGATAGGGAAAATGGGAGTCTTTAGTTTTCTCCTATATCTATAGGGAGAGTTTCGAGTATACACCATAATGTGTGATATTTGCTTTTTATTTTATGTAGATACTTTTTATGATATAGAAGGATGCCTCTATATCTATTCTTTGTAGAGTTTTTAGCATAAGTTAATGTACTTTATCAATGACTTTTTCTGTATCTATTAAGATAATCATGTGTTTTTGTTTTTAATGTAACAGATTATATTCCTAATGTTGAACTACCCTTGAGATAAGTCCAGCTTGGTCATTATGAATGGTTTCTTTCTTGAAATGTTGTATTCTGTTTACAGGATTTAATTTTTACTTAAAATTTTATAATTAGTGTTGGAAGTCCTCTATTTCATTAAAGGTTCATTTTTTCCCCATGTAGCGTTATACTTAGTTTTTCTGGTAATTTGTTTTTGGCTCAAGGCCTAAGGCAGTTGGAGTAGTTAGGTGAAGCAGTGGATGGAGTGCTGGGTCTGGAGTCAGGAAGATCTGAGTTCAAATGTGACTTAAACACTTATTAGCAGTGTATCACTTAACCCGTTTACCTTAGTTTTCTCATCTGTAAAATGATCTGGAGAAGGAAGTGGCAGACCAGTATCTTTGCCACGAAAACCTCAAATGACATCATGAATAGTTGGACATGACTGAAACAACTAAAAAGTCTTTTATCTTTTGCCTTTTTGAATATTCCAAATTCACTTTTACTTCAGAATAGTTGCTTCTAAATCTTATGTGATTCTGACTGTGATTCCTCAGTACTTGAATTCTTTCTTTCTTGCTGCTTGAAGTATATTTTCTTTGACTAGGAAGTTCTGGGTTTTGGCTATGATATTCCTGTGATTTTTACTTTTGGGATTAATTTTAGGAAGTGACCAGTGTATTATTTCCATTTCTGTTTTGCCCTCTGGTTCTAAGAAATCTGGGCAGTTTTCCTTTAAGATTTCTTGAGATAAAATGTCTAGGCTCTTTTTTTGGTCATAGAATTCACATTCAATGATTGTTAACTTTTTTCACCTTAACATGTTTTCAGAACAGCTTTTTTTCTATGAGGTACCTTACATTTTCTTCTTTTTCAGTCTTTTTCAGACTTTATTTTAATATTTCCATGTTGTCTCATGGAGTCATTAGTTTCTGTTTGTTCCATTCAGGTTTAAGGGAGTTTGCTACTTGAGCAAGGTTTAGTACATTTTGTGACATACTGTTAATTCTCTTTCCACTTCTTTTTTCCTTAGCTCTCATTTCTTCTCCAATTTTCCCCTTAAGTATTATCATTTCATTCATTAAAAAACATACTTATTAACTCTTCTTAAAATAAGCTTTCTTCATCTCTTTGAGGCATTCTAGTTTAATTTGTGCCCAGGTGTTTTTCTCTGAGTCATTCATTACTTGTATGTGTTTTGGAATAATTCCTTTCATTTGCACTTGTGTCTTGAGCTTCCCTGCCACCATACTAGCTTATTATTCTTCCTGTGAGGCAGCTTAGTGGCTCAGTAGAGTGATGGGCCTAGAATCAGGAAGACTTGAATTCAGATCTGGCCCCAGACACTTACTAACTGTGTGTGTCAAGCTTGGACAAATCACTTAAACTTTGCCCAAGTTTTCTCAACTATAAAATAGGGAAAATAACAGCAACTCCCTCAAAGGGTTGTTGTGAAGATCAAATGAAGTAATATTTATAAAGTGCTTAACACAATGCTTGGCAGTAAGAGGGACTATATGAAATGCTTATTCCTTTACCTCATGATGGGGTTTTTCATACTTTGAGCTTGATGTTGGGGTTGGACTTTGGCACACTTTGAGAGGGAAGGTCTGAGCTGGTCTTGTTTCTGCTTTCTTGGATTATTCAGTGTTGTGTTATTCCGTAGTCTCAGGAACAAGCTGGAGAACTCAGGTTCTTTACATGTTCCCAAAATGGTTAGATCCAGGGCACAGTTTGATTGCTTTCTGCCAGGTCTGAATTCTGCACATTCCTGGCCTGGGTTTAGTTATATATGGTAGCAGACTGCTGCTGGACTCAGCCTGTTATCAGCAAACTGGGAAGCTCTGATGAGTTACAATTGTAAACTTATGGGATTCTTGCCTTGCTTATTCTTCTGCAGGCTGTACTAGATGCTAGAAATGAGACCTTGCTTTGTGCCTGGGGTCTGAGCCACACTACTCTTGCTGGCTTTTGAACTTTCTCCTTTTTACATACACAATACAGGGCCTCCCTGCCTGTAATGCCACTTAACTGTGCAAGTCCCCTTTACAGTCTGCCCTGGATCTGTGACCCAAAACTCGGTAGTGGGTGAAAGAACTGGTAATTGTCACCTGTCCCTGTCACAGTAACCCAGTATGTGTCTAGGCCTCCTCTTGCTTTGGTGCACCTCTCTGTGGGTGATGGAGTGTTCCTGTCCTGACCCAGTCCCCAGTGTTCACAGTATCAGCAGACTTCCCTCTTTTCCCTATGTCAAGCTGGGCTGGACAAATTACTTACTTTGACTTCTCCTAGATTTTCTTATCAGTATTTAGTCTGGTGCATTTTCTAGATATATTTGGAGAAGTGTGTGGAGTGGAGTTCACTGTATTACATCCTATTACTCAGCCATCTTGATTTGGCCTCCTCTGTGGAGATCTTTAAATGTCAAAAAAGAGTGTATGTTCTGTCCTCTAAGTAAGAGGGAACCTCTTAAGTTTGAGAAGGGGTTGGACCTGCACTTTAGGAAAATGAGCTTGTTGGGAGTGGAGGATGGGATGTAATAGACAAATATGAGACTGGGAATACAAAGTGGAGACTTTTGCAATAGTCATTGCAATGAGGGGCTGAACTAGGATGTTGGCTTTATGAATGGAAAGATGTAGAAATAGAAATGACAAGATTTGGCAGTGAGAGAGTTGAGGATGACAGTAAGGATATGGACTTGTGTGACTGGAAAGATGATTCCTACAAGTTATAGGGAAATTTGGAATAAGGATAGAGAGTGGGGGAAAAGATAGGGAGTTCTGTTTTGGACATAATGAGTTTGAGATAATTGTGGGACAGAGTTGAAGTTACTGAGGATTTCTTTCTGATTCTTAGATTTTATAATTCTGCTAAGTTCAATTTGGAGCTTTCAATCTGTTGCTCAGTTTGTCCAAAGATATTAATATAAATCATTTTATAATTATAAGCACGCACCTGTGAAAAATTCACATATTTTAAGTAAAATGTATCTTCTCTTATCACACTTCTTCCCTTTTTTAACCTTAGCCTCTGGTCCTTTCTCCAAAGTTTACAGGAAAGTTTAAAGTATAAAGATAGCTTGGACAATAGTGTTTCCAAATTCCTGGCATATATTAGTCTTTGGGATTAAGGAAGGAGAAATCAGAATTTTTTGAGAATTCTTGAAGTGACAAATTATTCTATATTTTTCATAATATTTTCTTTATGTTTTCAAAAAATAATGAGTGACCATAACAGCAAACAATAATTTGTCTGTGATAGGGTTTTATTGAAAGTTTCAGAAGTTTACTGTAAAGGATATCTAATAACAAGTACGTGGATTATAATTATCGTTAACAATATATTGTGAAAATTATTTAAAACCTATTTGGCAGCAACGCTGACTGATTTCCTTTGTCCTTCTTAAAATGCTTCCTACGTTGTTCATACGCTTACTCATTATTATAGATATCTAAAAATGTGTTTAAATAAGAAATATTAAGTTTAGTAATAGTTGCAAAGAATTATAGCCTGTAGAAAATATTCAAATACTGGAAAAT